GGGGAGGGAGGGGAGGGCATGTGATAGCAGAAGGTGGGAGTCAGGAAGTTAGGGGGAAGGGCCTGGGAGGGGGAGGAGAAAGGGAGGGGAGGAGAAGGGAGGGAGGGAAGGGGGGGAGGCATGTGATAGCAGGTGGGAGTCAGGGAAGTTAGGGGGAAGGGCCTGGGAGGGAGGAGAAGGGAGGGGAGGAGAAGGGAGGTGGAGGGAAGGGGGGCATGTGATAGCAGAAGGTGGGAGTCCTGGAAGTTAGGGGGAAGGGCCTGGGGAGGGGAGGAGAAGGGAGGGAAGGAGAAGGGAGGGGAGAGGAAGGGGGAGGCATGTGATAGCAGAAGGTGGGAGTCAGGAAAGTTAGGGGGAAGGGCTTGGGGAGGGGAGGGAAGGAGGGAGGAGAAGGGGAGGGGAGGGAAGGGGGGAGGGAGGGCAATGTGATAGCAGAAGGTTGGGAGTCAGGAAAGTTAGGGGGAAGGGCCTGGGGAGGGGAGGGAGGGGAAAAGGGAGGGGGGGAGGAGAAGGGAGGGGAGAAGAAAGGAGGGAGGGAGGGGAAGGGGGAATAAGACCGTGTCAGGAATCTTAAACAAGGGGAGATAGGTCGCGACGCGCCTGGTCGTGCATATGATGTCATCGCCGCCTGGGAAAAATACACGGATGGGGGAGAGGGAGCCGGGGAGGGGGTGGGGGGTGAGAGGGGAGGGGGGGAGAAGATGTAGGAACACAAGGGGGAAATGGAGAAAGGAAGGAAGTTGGGTGGAAGGAGGAGGGAGGGGATTAGAGGGGAAGGAAGGGAGAAGAAAGAAAGAAAAATAAGCACAAGGGATAAATATGGAGGGAGGAGGAGGAGGAGGAGGAGAGGAGGAGGAGGAGGAAGGAGAAGAAGGAGGGGAGGGGAGGAGGAGGAAGAGGGAGAGGAGGAGAAAGGGAGGATGGGGAAGGAGGAGAGAGGCGGAGAAGAAGAGGAGGATGAGGAGGATGAGATAGGGATGAGGAGAGAGAGAGAGATGAAAATAAAAGAAAAAGTTGGAAGGAGTAACAAGGGAGTAGTGAAGGCAGGAAGGTGAGAAAGAAGAGAGAGAATGGGAGGAAAAAGGCAGCAAAGAGGTCACGGCAGGTCATGAGTCGAGCATGAGAGAGGGAGAGGAGAGAGATAGGGGGAGAGATAGATAGATAGATAGATAGATAGATAGATAGAAATAGGGAGAGGAGAGAGAGAGAGAGAGAAGAGAGAGAGAGAGAGAGAGAGAGAGAGAGAGAGGGAGAGAGAGAGAGAGAGAGAGAGAGGGAAACAGGAGGGAGGGAGAGAGAGAGAGAGAGAGAGAGAGAGAGAGAGAGAGAGAGAGAGAGAAGAGAGAAGAGAAATGGAGAAGAGAGAAAGAGAAGAGAAAGAGAGAAGTGAGAAACAGAGAGAGAGAGAGAGAGAGACAGAGAAGAGAAACGAGAGTAAAGCCGAACGCCAGTTTCACTCCCGCCCCTCCGCCCAACCCGAATCCCCCCACCCACCACCACCACCACCCCACCCCCCCCGCCTCCGCCTCACCGCATCGGACAATCGGCGCTCAACCCCAAACGACTCCCGAAACGAGTCCTCGACGAGTCCCTAACCGATCCCCGGGACACGAAGCGGCGATGCAAGGCGGTCGTCAGCGGTGCCCCCCCGCCCCCCACCCCTTCCCCACCCACCCCACCCCTCCAAAACCCCCACCCCCCAACACGAACCCCGGGATCGTCTTCTTCTTCCCCCCCCCCCCCCCACCCCCCCACCGACAAGGCGCACGAGAGCAATCGCCGCCGAGGGGTCGAGTCCGCGGAAAGTGGAACGCGTCGGTTCGGTCGCTCAGTCGGAGTTGGTCCGGTGCGTTCAGTCGGTGTGTCGTTGCTGTGTCAGTCGCTGTGTCGGTCGGTCGTCGGTTGTCAGTCGTCGGTGTGTGTCGTGTGTCGGTGTGTGTTGTCGTGTGTCGGTCGGTGTGTCAGTCGCTGTGTCGGTCGGTGTGTCGGTCGTGTGTCAGTCGTGTGTTCCGTCGGTTGTGTCAGTTTCGCTGTGTCCGGTCGTGTCGGTGTGTGTCAGTCGTGTTCCCCGGTCGCGTGTGTCAGTCGTGTGTCGTCGGGTCGTCGTGTGTCGGTCGTGTCGGTCATGCTGTGTTGTCCTGTGCACGTCGCTGTGTCGGTGTGTCGGTCGGTGTGTCAGTCGGTGTGTCGGTCGCCGTGGTCAGTCGGTGTGTCAGTCGCTGTGCTCGGCGTGTGTCGGTCGCTCAGTCGGTCGGTGCTGTGTCAGTCGGTGTGTCGTCGGTGTGTCGGTCGTGGGATCGGTCGGACGGGACGGAGGAAAGCAGCCGCGCCTTCGCCGCCGCTCGCCTTTCTCGTGGCTCGCGGGTCTGAGAGGAATGGCGATGCGCTAATGGACCAGCCCGGCATAAAAGAGTTAACGAAGGAAGAGAGAGAGAGAGAGAGGAGAAGAAGACGAGAGAGGGAGAGAGAGAGAGAAGAGAGAGGGAAGGGAGAGGAGAGAGACGAGAAGAGAGAGAGAGGAGAGAGGAAGGGAGGGGGGGGAAGGAGAGAAAGAGGCGAAGAGGGAAGAGGGAGGGAGAGAGAGAGGAACGGAAGAGAGAGAGAGAAGAGAAGAGAGAGAGAAGAGGAGAAGAAGAGAGAGAGAGAGAGAGAGAGAGAGAGAGAAGAGAGAGAGAGAGAGAGAGAGAGAGAGAGAGGAAGAGGCGAGAGAGAGAGAGGAGAGGGAGAGGGAGAGAGAGGGGAAGAGAGGAGAGAGAGAGAGAGAGAGAGAGAGAGAGAGAGAGAGAGAGAGAGAGAGAGAGAGAGAGAGAGAGAGAGAGAGAAGAGAGAGAGAAGAGAGAGAGAGAGAGAGGAGGAAGGGAGGGGGGAGAGAGAGAAAGAGGAAGAGAGAGAGGGAGGGAGAGAGAGAAGGGAGAGGGAGAGAGAGAGAGAGAGAGAGAGAGAGAGAGAGAGAGAAGAGAGAGAGAGAGAGAGAGAGAGAGAGAGAGAGAGAGAGAGAGAGAGAGAGAGAGAGAGAGATGAGAAAGTTGAAAGACAACATACTACCCAAAACCCGTCTCCCCCCCACCCCTCATCCCCAAAAAAAAGAGAGAGAAAAAAAAAATCTTCCACCAGCCTACCTTCTCATTCCTCCCCCTCCCCTCCCCCCCCTCCCTAGTTCATTCACAGCACCCCCCCTCCCCTCTCCCTTCCCCACCCCCCTCCCACCCCAACAAATACCGAGCGAAATTCCCAGCGAAACCCCCCGATGCCTCATGCGTTTTCCGACGATGACGTAAAGCGGTGAGGCATTTCGCTCTTCCCCCCTCACTCCCCCTTAAACCCCCAAGACCTTGACCCTAGCCCGCCGTTCGTCCCGCTGACCCCCCACCCCCAACCCCCCACTACCCTTCCCACTGCCCAAATCGCTCCCCCCCCCTGATAAGGTATCCGCAGCAAACGTTCTGATACGTGTCATACGAAAACAAAATGATAATCAAGATAAGAATAAATAAATAAACAAATGAAAAACAAAACCGACGATAGACCAACTCCACGGGCGATCAAAGTGTCATAATCCAACCTAGGACAATCAAAAAACGCCAACGACGATAGCAGCGCCGGCGACAGCAACACGTACAAACAATTAGCGAATGCAGCAACAGCGTAAACAAAAACAAACTTAATAAATAAATAAAAAAGCAAGAGACAGCACTGCAGGGACGAGATCAGCGCGCCAGACGACACAAAAGCCGAGCCACGCACCCACGGCGAGGCGTAAGAGAAGGTCGCCAGTCCATTACACTATGGCACAGGTCCCCCCCCCCCCTTCCATTCAGCCCTCCACGCACGCACGCACGCACGCACGCACGCAAGCACTCGCCTCGTGATCCACGCACACACACAGGCACGCGTTCATTCATCTCCCTTCGACGGCCCTAAGACCATCACTCACAGAGTCCTCTTCGGAAAGTGTTCGACTGGGAAAGTAAAGTGGAATCAAACGCACGTTATTCGTCTCAGACACTTATCCTATTCTGCACATTGGCGGCACTTCACGCACTCTACTGAATGCAAAAGAAAAGAAAAAGAAAAAAAAAAACGATAACAATTTCATGATAGTAACAGAAAAAAAACGAATTATAAGAATAAAATATGCCAACATAAATAAATAAACAAATAAATAAAACAACGCCCACTCTCTACTACACACGCACAAACTGTAAGTACAATGGACGTCGAAACCAATAAACTACAACAAAACAATAATAATAATAGCAGTAATAGTAATAATAATAATAATAATAACAATAATAATAATAATAATAATAATAATAATAATAATAACAACAAAACCTCACAAGGCGCCCGCGGACACTTACCGACGCCAGCCGCTGAGGGGCCGCGCGGCGAGCTGGTCCCTGGACAGCCCCCACAGCCCGGCGGAGGCCAAGATGTAGGCCACCAGGAGGGTGATCATGATGCCCACCACCCGCACGGGGACCACGAAGATGGACATGAGCACCAGCTGCCGGGGAAGACAAAGTGGGTTTGAAATTATTGGGTGTGTAGGTAGGGACCTGGTTGATATGTAGGCCTATACATCAGCCGCGTAGAAAGGGGAAAATAGGTTAGCATTATATCTTTCTCTCTTCACCAGCTGCGAAAAAGGGAACAATACGGGTTTGAATAATGCGAGAGAATATCAGCATAAAATTGGGCGAGCACCAGCTGCGAAGACAAGAGTGGTTGCATAATCTGGCTGCTTATAAATATTCAGTTATAGGCCTATAAAACCAGCTTCGCCAAAAAAAACATAATACCTTGAATACTCTAGAATTTGTATGAGCACTTGCTACGTGGAAATATACATTAGTTCTAAATAACTTAGGTTAGGCTATATAAACACCAGCTGCGGATATAATGGGTTTAAAGTAATCTGATTGTCTACTGATATAAAATTATACGAGCACCAACTGCGAAAAAAGGCAACATTGGTCTCCATAATTTAATTGTTTACCCACAGACAGCTATAAGCATACATTTAAAATAGTCTATCATGTTAACTGACCCCTCGGAGGAGAGAAGAAAACGTGGCACACAGCGTCTCACAAAGGGAAACCCATGATCATGACACTTCTATACCGCGTCATGCGCACACACACACACACACACACACACACACACACACCACACACACACACACAGAGAGAGAGAGAGAGGAGAGGAGAGAGAGAGAGAGAGAGAGAGAGAGAGAGAGAGAGAGAGAGAGAGAGAGAGAGAGAGAGAGAGAGAAGAGAGAGAGAGAGACAGACAGACAAGCGGAATGAAAGAGAATCAGCCACGACTGTCAGGCAAGGAAGCAACTGAAATGCAGATGAGTGGGAGAGGGAGAGGAAAATAAAACGTAGGAAGCGGAAACAAGAAAAAGAAAAGATGGAGGGGATGATAGAGACAGAAAGACAAGACAGAAAGGCAGACAGAGAGAAGGAGCGGGGGAAGGGGGTAGGTAGACAAATAGATAAATCGATGGATAGATGAGAGATATGGGCAGAAAACACCCTACCAAAATCAACTAAGAAAAATCACCAAAACCAAAAACAAAATCCTCCTCCTCAAGCCTTTATTCTCTCGTCCATTCACCTCTCCCCCCACCACCCCACCACGTGTCGCCACCTCGTCACGCCATTACACGGAAAATCTCGTCGATAATCCCTGTCCCCGGGTCGGCCGCCTCCTCGCCAGAAGAAAGCGACGACGACGACGCCTCGCCTCCCTCACCCTTCCACGCTCTCTCTCTCTCTCTCTCGGTCGCCAGGGAAGACACTCGTTGGACTCGTGTTTACGGCAACAATCAATGCAACAACAATCCATTTCCAACAATCATCCGGCCGGCCAATCAATCCAGGAGCGTCCATTTCCGCCGCGTTGATGGGTTTTCAATTAAGTTTAATTAGTTCAATTAGCCACCACGAAACACAGGGAGCGGAGAATCGCTGGCTCTTCGACGTTTCTCACACACATAGGCTAGTTTATATATTATATATATATATATATATATATATATTATATATATATATATATATATATATTATACATACATACATACATAATTACACACACAACACACACACCACCACCCACACACACCACACACAACACACATAATATATATATATATATAATATTATTATATATTTAACACACTCACACAGCATCATATCTAACTCTGAGTAAACGTCCCATATTACAATTTCTGGCACAGAAATCAGGACAATTTTTTATTGGCCCTTATTACAAATCATTACCCATCTATACAAAGGAAACTATATATAGATGTGTTGGTGTGGTGTGGGTGTGGGTGGGTGGGTGGGGGTCATGTGTGTGTGTCGTGTTGTGCGTGTGATAGCGCTGCGTGTGTATGCGTGTGTCAGTGTTGCGTGTCAGTTACGACAGGATGAATTCACTTCTGCAAGAATTATAAATGCATATATACGTAAGTTATATACATAAATTATACGCGCACATAATCGTAGACATGGACATACACACAGATACACTTAGACATACACACATACACACACACACACTGGGATATATCCCTCTTAACACGTTCATCTATCAATCAATTTATCTATATCTGAGAGATACCACGCCATGTGATTCAGATTGATAGACGTAATAACCTCCTGTTTTCATTAAAGAACGAAAAGAACGTAGACTACCAATATCCGAACCATTTGCCAAATCATCAATAAACATCCGAGTGGTAATTAAATCCAGTTCCTCGCCTGAACACGACGTCATTGGTGATTGATTTGAATGTTCAAGAGACAGTGACAGAGAAAGAGTAGACGCAGGAGCAGGGAAGGAGGGAGGGAGGAGAGGAAGAGGAAGAGAGAGAGAGGGAGGAGGAGAGAGAGAGAGAGAGAGAGAGAGAGAGAGAGAGGGAGAGAGAGGGAGAGAGAGAGGGAGGGAGGGAGAGAGAGGAGGAGGGGGGAGGGAGGGAGGGAGGGAGGGAGGGAGGGAGGGAGAGAGGGAGGGGAGGGGGAGGGAGAGGAGAGGAGAGAGAGAATGTGAAAAGGGAAGAAAGAAAATGGAAGCGAAGGAGATGGAAGACAGAATGGAGACACAGGGAGGAAAAACGACAGCAAAGAAAAGAGAGACACAGGCAGACCAAACAGTGTGGACCCGCCTCGACACAAGTGGACTTTGTGGGTTACCGTCCCTATCCAAAGTCGACAAAGTGGATTTCGTTCCTATCTGCCCTCTGACGACCTCGCTCGAGAAAGTCGAGTAAGATTTCCTCAGCTTTCCCAGGTCATTTCGATGTGTCTCCACGCCCAATTATATACCATTCTCAATGTCTATCCAGGACAAACTAATATATGCTTGTCCTCAAAATAATCTTCGCAAAATTTACCATCATATGTGCCAGTGTATAGGCCTACATCGTTCCTATTGATACACCTATAGTTATCCATTTGTATCTTATTCAATTTGCTCTTTGCACCTATCCCTCAAACCAAAAACAAAAGTCCCATCCTCAAACGAACAAGCCTATTCCCTATTCTAACTATTCTAACTGTGGAATAAAAATCTGACGCATACCAGAGCTACCACGGACATCAAAACAGAACTCACGGCCCGTCTGCGTTTGGTCTCGTCGGGTGTTTCGTCCAGCAAGCCAGACTCACCCTATCCAGACTTACCCTACCCAGGCTACCCTATCCAGGCTACCCTACCCAGGCTACCCTAACCTGCCCTCTCCGCGGACTTATCGGCCAACGCCAACACACCGCCCAGATATCAAGTCCTACCACCAATTAAGCCGAGAAAACGGACCCTTTTCATCGCTGGCCCCGAATTCTGACCGTGGGCGTGAGGCACTGCCGTCGTGTCCATCCCCTCACAGCTCACACCGCGCAGGAAGTACAGAGAAAGGCAAAGGTGGAGTGGGAGTGGGAGTGAGAGAGGAGAGAGGGAAAGGGAAGAAAGGAAGGGGGAGGGAGGGAGGAAAGAGGGGGAGAGGGGGAGAGGGAAAGGGAGGGGGAGAGGGAGAGGGGGAGAGAGAGGAGAAGGGGGGAGAGAGGGAGAGAGGGAGAGAGGGAGGGGAGACTGAGAGGAGAGGAGGGAGGAGGGAGGGGAGAGGAGGGAGAGAGAGAGAGAGAGAGAGGAGAGAGAGAGAGAGAGAGAGGAGAGGAGAGAGAGAGGAGAGGAGAGAGAGAAAGAGAGAGAAGAGAGAGAGAGAGAGAGAGGGGGGGGGGATGGAAAGAGACTAACAGAGCGAAACGGGAGTGTATCGGAAGAAAGAAACCGCAATAAGAGAAAACACGCACGCACGCATGCACACACACACACACACACGTACATACATACATAACACATTATACCGACATACATACTTCCCTACGACAAATCACACACAAGACGTACATATACATAACACATTAAATACTTCCCTACAGACAAATCAATAAAAAAACACACAAATAAAACACCCAAAAGGAAGCTTCTGGACAGCAAAAGCATCCCGTATCTAAACCAGGCAACGAGGACGACCCCGTCATAATGAAGACACTGCGCCCTGCCCTACTGCACCCAACCCCGTGGCCCTATCGGCGAGGGTGAACTCGTACGCGACACGAGCATTAGCGGCAGTACAGGGCTTGGGGAGGGGGAGGGGGAGGGGGGCGGGTTGAGAACGATGGAGGGGGAGAGGGAGGGGGAGGGTTGAGAACGATGGGAGGGGGAGAGGGAGGGGGGGGGGCGGTGGAGAACGACGCACAGCATTTCGTCACAATTTTGCGGGCGATCCAACACGACCAAGTGTTGGCTGGGAGAGTAAGGGCTGGGATTTGCGGGGGAGGAATCGGGGCATCGCTCAAGTGTACTTTCCTCTCGTGCGGTCGGTTGTTTGCGTCTGTCTGTCTGTCTCTTTCCATTCGTTTTTATCGCTTTCTCTCTCCATTCGTTTTTTTTCTCTTTCTCATTCCCCCTCTCCTCTCTCCATTCGATTTTCACTATTTCTACTCTCTCTCTTCTCTCTCTCTCTTCTCTCTCTCTCCATTCGATTTTTCTATCTCTCTCTCTCTCTCTCTCTCTCTCTCTCTCTCTCTCTCTCTCTCTCTCTCTCTCTCTCTCTCTCTATTCTTTCACTATCTCCCTCTCCCCTTCCTTCCTTCCTTCCCTCTCTTCTCTCTTTCTCTCCGTTTTTTCCTTCTCCCTTCTCTCTCTCTCTTTCTTTCTCTCTGTGTTTTCTCTATCTTCCTCCCCCCCCCCCCCTCTCTCTCTCCAACCCACTTAAACATCAGACCAACACGTCCGAAACCTGTTCAACCTCGACATGCAGAATACCTCCACAAAAGCGAAAACAAGCGACAATGCCTCCCCCGCATCGATAAAATCCCGAACTGCAAATGCCACACCGATATCCCGCCATGAAATTTAACCCAAACCAATACACCCTTCCACTCTCTCTTCTCTCTCTCTCTCTCTCTCTCTCTTTCTCTCTCTCTCTCTCTCTCT